GAGAGAGAGAGAGAGAGAGGGGGGGGGGGAGGATGGATAGAAATAAATTGTGCCGACTGTTCCGATAAGCTGTCGATGCCACAAAAATGAAAAAGGCCGAGCAGTTCGTTTGTTATTTATAGCCCATCCTAATTTGGATCGGTATGAAACGGTTTTTGGGGACGAATCAACCACCGACCTATATCACGCGCGATTGCGTTAAATTACATGAATATGAAATTCATCTCTTGGTTTACGAGATACACAAACAATTTTGAGTTTTGTCGAAATTGTTTTCTTGTAAATGTTAATTCTCTCTTTTGTCGTTTTATACATCTGTTTTTCATTGCTTCGATTTATTTCTAATTTTCAGTTACAATGCAAAACAAAATGTATATTATACATATTGTGTAAAACTAGACTGTCTATATTCTTTAAAAATTACTTAAAAGAATTGTAAATTCTTACTTTATCCTATTTATTTATTTTGGTATTTTAAAAGCAAATTCTTCAAAATTTCATAAACAAATTTTTTGATTAATTTAGAATTTATTTTTTCTTACTAAAAATGTCAAATCATTGTTAATTTGTCAAAAAATAAATCAAGATATATTCCAGCTTTAGAAGCAGAAATAAACAACATTTTTATTCTTTTTCTTTATTTAATTTTAAATGAATTTAATTTGAATGAAATTTGTGCCGAGGCTGAGTTAGTTAATTATTAAAACAAAAATGTGTTAAAATTTTTGAAAGAAAACTCGGTTTTTCATATTAATTAATGACTAAGAAATATACGTCGATAGAAATCGACACTTAATTTCTATTTATTTATTTGTTCTTTTTGTCTGTCTATTTCTTCGCAACGACGTAAATGTTCCAAATCGTTGGAAAGTGCCCCACTGCGTAGTACGAATGTATTTCTTTATGCTCACGTTTTCCAAATTTTTCTCTTTTGCTTTTTCCCCCGGATCGGATTCGCGGTCCCCTGGCATTGCGACAAAATTTATTGCGTATGAAAGAATGGCGTTAATAATCGGGTCGCTCTTTTCTTTTACGCGTATGTATATCATTCTTCGCCAGATTCGTTCGTCGCTCTTCGTTGCGAGTGATTAGTTAATTATCGATCACGTAGCATCATTAACTTTGCAGATCGACAACACTCTATCTCGTTGGTAATCTCGCGGACGTTGTCGCAATTATCGTCGTAGTTGTGCGCATTGGATCGTGAATTAGATGCCGCGTAAGAGAGAATTCGCAAAATTAGTCTGTCAGTGCGGAGAGTCACGTTTAGAGGAATAATTCTCGATTCGATTCGAGGAGATTATATAAAACGCGAATGTCGAACGCGACGTGTTTTTCGATGCCGCGTTAAGATCTATACGTATAACGTTACCATCACGTCGCTTTTTTAAATGGAATCAGGGTATTATCACTGATAAGCAATGATTTTAATTTTAAGTATAGCTCTGAAATAGTGAAGTCTCGCCGGGAAGAATACAAATCAGCGGTAGTGGCTGGTTTTTCAATGAAATCGTACTGTCATAATTAATGAATTATAAGATGGAGGAGCAAAGTATATTTTCTTGTCACTGTTTTTATTAATGATTCAGTTTAAGAATAAATATTTTTATATGAGTCTCAAATGGAGCTATATATCCTGACCATCACAGAATCGCACCGCCGCTGACATTTAAAACTCATATAAGAATATTTGACGTTACGTCGACATGGTACGTATAGTAAGTAATATGTTTTACTCCAACGAGATTGTGCGTCCCCTTGACGCGACAGCACCTACTTTGTCTCGGCGCAAAAGATACTTCGCTGTCACGCTGCTCGACGTCTTCTCTTTCATCGTTTATTGCGTTATCGTTTAGTGCACGTTAGATTGAAATTTTAAAAATGCTTATATTTATATTTCTCGATGTTATATTTCTCATCTTACCGCGAAAATTGATTCGATTGCTTGAGAGATCGCCTCTGCAACGCGAAGAATGGAAGGTAAGAATACCAATCGTATTTCTTTTCGAATTTTAATAACGTCGCGAAATAGAATTTGATCTCTTGTACGAATGTGTGTGTGTGCGCGTGAATGTGCGTGTAGAAAATGGGGAAAGGGGGGGATTAAATTTATCTTGCTATGCTTCTCTCCCCGACTATCTAATTTCATGAGAGTGCTGTCATAACGTGCCAGAAGTATCCCTTCAATAAGATACAAAGTTCTATGTGTGCGTACATTTTAATTGTAGACTTTGACTTTTAACGAAGTTTGAGTGTAAATCTCTATCGTGTCAAGAGCTGATTATAACAAAACTGACAAAGACACCTGCGCCTAATATGGGGGATGTTGATTAAAGTCGAGAGATCTTTGATGTAGAAGTTCCGAATTTAATACCTATCCCCTTGTGAATGATCCAAGAACTGTTCATGCATCAATGAGATGGCATTTGAATCCCAATTGCAAACTGGATGTCTGAAAGTGGTTTCATAGGAAGAGGAGAACCTCGCTTCATTTTAATTATTATAAGTTTTTATTTTATTAATGATAACTATATCCTAAATTGATCTTTTATTTAAATAATTATTTAAATAATTGTTTTAGTAATTACAGAGAATAATGATTTTAGTAATTGTTTTAGTAATTACAGAGAGTAATTATTTTAGTAATTAAAATTACATGAAAAATATTTAACAAAATATTATATGTGGCACGCATTTCTAGTATAATATATTGAGAGATACACGAATCACATTTTCTACTTTACGAGAAAATTGTAGAAAATCTCCCACGCGCGCAGGCTTCGATTAATTATCTGAATTTTTCTGTTATAAATCGCTGACTAGCTTGTTTCTTATACCGAGGTAAAAGCAAAAATAAAAAGAGGAAAATGAGATTGTTTGTGCAGGATTGCGAAATTTCTGTATCTTTTGTTTTAAGGACGCACGTATTGGTATACATTTTATTCGTTTTACCGTTCTAGGATTCAACCGACGCGCAATAACAGCGCAGCTCGACGAGGTGTGAAAGCACTCTCTCTCACGATAATTCATTAATCATTTTCGAAGCGCTTAAGTCGGCATCGTCTTGCATATATAACCGCTACAAATAGTGATTATTAAATCGCATTACGTATTCCTGGAATACATTTGTGCTTGACAATTTACGATGGGGAAGAAGGGGGTGTAAATCGGGGAGATCGCGGAGAGGAAAGCCAACTCAATCTCAAGCTTTCGCGTTCCCAGGTGCATCGCGTACGTATCTGTGCGTGCTCTTACAAACTCGTATGTGGATCGCGGGGCGCAATTACTAGACTATTTGAGGAAATAAAGCGCCCTTTCTCTCACTTTCCAGCCCCCGCGCGCGCGTGACTTTTGCCCGATATATAATTGCCTACGAATAGCGCGTATTACATCTTCGGAAAATTATCGTCGATTAATCGCTCGATATCTATTAATGCGATATTATATTCTTCACAGCAACAGTAATATCGCGTAATAATGCAACATTACGCGATTGCCTCGTTGAATTGATAATTCAGATGTTAAAACTGTTCGCTACAAAATTTTTAGATCGTTTGTTCTTTGATTTTAACATTTATATTTATATTTTATATATCTATATTTTTAGTACAAGTGAATATACGAGATATTTTACTTCTGTAATTATCTTCTGTAATTACATGAAAATAATTCGCGATAGACTCAGAGTCCTTTTATAATGAGTAGTCTTACTGGAATAGTCAAAGTGGAAAAAGTTCTTGTTTTTTCTCTCTTCTGCATATTCATGTATATATCATAATTTGTTGCAGATAGCGAAACTATTTTCCTACACATGGACCATGGGCATCTTCCTTTGTAAAGTTGTACATTACATGCAGAGCGTATCGGCTATCTGCTCGGTTGTCACTCTCACCGCGATGTCGGTCGAAAGGTAAGATTATACTCTTGTATCACTCTTGCCACGACGAGGATCATCGTCGTCGATTGATTATCGATGCGTCGCTGTTATTATAATCATATGTAAAACGCGCAAACGGGTCACTTGGATAATAAACATTGAGATTGTCGTAAAATGCTGCGAGCGTTCGCGTTGTAACCCAGTAACGTTGTCGTAAAGTATATATATATATATCGCGTGTCGTAACTGTCTACATAAATTGACCGGATTGATAGAGTTTTAGATTTATGTCGAACGTTTGTCTAAAATTGCATATTTAATTTGAGGGTTCGTCGGAAAAATGGTCAGTTTTATCGGACCTGAATTCAGAGAATTGAACATTGAAAAAGTGGTGAATAGAAACTTTTCTTACAAAAATGAAAGTGATTTCTATTAAATATATTGTCCCTTTTTGTTACGTTTGTGATAGTCGTTTCATTCAATATTTTGTCAAATAAATAATTCTCCGCGGTACAATGTTTATAAAGACATAATATTCGCAATGGAAACCGCTAATGTAACTCGACGTAATGGAAAAAGAGATTACTGCGAGAAAATAAAGCCCCATACTACGTTCGACAACAAACGTTATGTATTTGAATTACCGCGAGCAATGTATGGTGGTATGATAGAAATTTCAGCACGTGTGCGAATAAATTGCCATGAAAATCCGAGAAATTCCGAGAAACATACTTTGTAATATAATGCCATACGGCACTGTGTTATCAAAGCGTAAAAGCTAGGTAACGTGTACAAAATTTCTGCCTGTCGAATAAAACTCCCATTATATAAAAGCAGCATCTTGTATTTCTCACCAACTTTCGTAATTTCAGGATAATATTCAGCAAAGAGATAGAATTTCGACATTTAATTGTAACGCTTTTCCACAATATTATTTTGCAGTATTATCGCGCGTAATATAATACGTGTCATATGTATGACAAGTATTTTTTCAATACTTTAGGGGTATTACATTTTCATTATCTTTTATAATATTAGATTAAAAGATTTGTAGAAATATTGATAAAACTTTTTGAAATATTCATTATTGTATAATGTTCTCATAAAGAAAGATTTATATATTTTAAGCATTGCTAATATTTTTACTAGATTATTGAAAAAGCACGAAATATGCATATCTATTATATTAAAATGAAATATCAATTACGATTGATAAGCTCGTGATTGACGCTGCGTAATAATTAAAGGTTTTTTAGAAAATTTTTCGGAAAATATTTTTTTTATCGAACTTTCAAAGTTGCATATTTGTAAGAAAGAATTTAATTTATTTAACGATTCTTTAATATTCGATTTATCTGTCGCACCAACTTCTGCAATAATACTGTTTGAATTTTACGAGAATTTTATCATCGAAAATTTGCAGCTAGATTGTCATCGGTGCTATGCGTCGGCGCTTAAGAAGAGCTGTTTTCTATGACCTTCTGGCAAGAATATGTTGAAGAAGAAACGCCGGAAAGAGATTCTTCCGGCGCTTCCATCTTTTCAAACGCGAGCAGGCCGTCCTTCTTTTATTTCGCTCAAGCGACATAGCCGTCCTAAATAACGATCTTTACGATCTTCTCGATCTGTCTGTCTGTCTCTGTCTCTCTTCGCGATTCAGTTCTGTTGCGCGCAATTGAGTGACGACAACGTGAAGCTTTTGAAATTGAATACTATTAATTCGAGAACTTTGCGTCGCTCGCGGGATGACTTATGGAGATCCTTGTCGGAAAGGTTTGCCTCTTTTTCGCCCTGCGTTATCGCTATAAAGTTGAGGAAAAGCTGAAAGGATTTTCTACCTTGACGTTTTTTTCTCGCGCCGTCTCGGATTCCGACGCGGCGTCTTCTCGTCTTTCGAATTGGCGTACGGTATTCTGACGATCTAAATAGCATCGGAGATACACGAAAGAATTAATTATGCAACCTCGTCTGGCACGGTTGTTGCATTTCCGTGAGAGAATTGTGGCGCATGTAACAATTAGAATCCAGGCGCCCCATTACTTCACTACTTGGCATTAATCCAAGGGTGACTAGCGATTTTCACGAAAAAGGAGGATCGAGTACGGTTTCATTCCTTTTTCCGTATTCAGGTCACTAGCAAATAACACCGTAATCTAATAACAATTATTCTTTCAAGGGAAGAATTAGTTATAGGATTCTACTTTTATCGTATTTATTATAATCTTCCTTTTTTCATTCTTTTTGCGGAAACTTGCAACACTGTCAAAGATTTTAGGGAAAAGAACTGAAACAGTCTACGTATAATTCGATATTTAAAAAACAATGAATTCTTTGAAACAAGCAGATTGACATAAAAAATACTTTTTCGAAATAGAAGAAAAAACCATGATGCATGAAATGCGCAAAGTTTTCCGCCATTCAGCCATTTTTCTGGAAAAGATAGATAATAATTAAGGCAACTCCGTAAAACGGAACAGTAAGTTTTCACGATGTCACGATCCGTTTCAATTTAGTTTCATCACAAGAGTTTCGCACATAATTTACATAAATCTGTTAGCTGCCGGAGATACGTCTTTTATTTATAGTGCCTACTATATCAAGACATCTTTGAAAATATTTCTGATTATGATTTGCTCGCAAAATTAAAAAGCCATTTGATTTTCTTTAGCTCCGATTTACGCTTAATTTACATGTGTGAAAAATCTTTGCATTTTAAACTAATCACAAGATACTAATATAATTTTGGTGATATGTTTGCAACTAAAGATATTATACAAAATCTCGTCAATGCCTTAATAATTTAATAATATTTGAAAGTATTGACTCAATAAATTGAAATTTTATCGTTACAATTAGATTTATCATTAAAATTAAATTCAAAAATTAAATTAAAAGTTATGAAATATTCTATATATATTTCACTATCGAACCATTAATATCATTCGTGAAGTATTTTTATTTGCTATTTGTTAGGAATTTAATCCGCATTTAATAACAATTTTAAAAAAAGCCATAATAAAATCTATAAAATGTCAAAATAACGATAAATTGGATTGCTGTCTCCACAGACTTCTATGTATTATATCTAAACTGTTAACATGGCTATGTCTTATACAGGTGACATGTGAAACAAGGGCAATCATTTACAATTGAGCAGAATGGAAGTGTATATAT